ATTGCATATGATATGATGTGTAATGTATGTGTCAAGTTTTGAATGTGATTGATCAAAACATGTCAGAGATATGACTACATTCAGTAATACAAAACGGCTGCCAGTCAGTCATTTTCATTCCCAACAGTAAAAGATGCTGTGCATCAAAGACCCATAGTAACCAGGGATGTTGATTTGAATGTATGACATTTGTGAAGACAAAATTCACTCATCGCACAACATAAATTTTTTTGACCATAGACCCTCAACAAAGGGATAGGAAACAACACGAGACAACAAAGGATGTTTATTAATCAAGTGTACGCTGTTGTTTTGCATACTAATTATCTTGTCGTGTGCTCGACATCCGGATGACGTCATCAGCTGTGTGTACGTCCTGTCTCCTTATCAGTCTAGTCGATGCGACATATATGTTTGTCCACCCATTTTTTCCACAATCACCGACGCGACGCCTATAAAATTGACCAACAAATGTTTATTAGGTGTTTGCGGTCGCATTGATTGGCTGTATTTTGATAAATAGTGTGTAACTTTTCGAAAAAAAAACTTTTGATGAGCTTCTTGTTGCGACCGTGTTGTCAAACTTGACTTCCGCTGTCGCCATGTTTACTATTTGACACCAGTTGAGGCGTTGCGTTGTCCACCCATTTTTCTCCCATCCATGAGTTTGACATCAATAAAACTAATTAAAATAAATGATGTCCGTATGTCCCCGTGCTCGCATTGACATGCGGCATTATTACATTATTACATTATGTTTGGCAATTTTCTGAAAAAACGACCGTCATTCTCCCTGGTGTCTCAATGTATACGATGGTGCTTTATTTCGATCGCCATTTTGACTGTCGATGCGACATATATGTTTGTCCACACATTTTTTCCACAATCACCGACGCGACGCCTATAAAATTGATCAAAAAATATTCATTAGGTGTTTGTGGTCGCATTAATAGGTGGTATTTTGGTAAATAATGTGTAACCTTTCGAAAAAATGACTTAAATTAGCGACCGTGTGCTGACTTCCGCCATCGCCATGTTTATTTACTATTTGACATGATTTGAGATGTTGTGTTGTCCATCCATTTTATCCACATGCATGAGGTCGACATCAATTAAAAAAGTTTTTTTTTTGTATGAGTCCTTGTGTTTGCATTGACATGCAACATTTATTACAACCTCGAAAAACTCCTCGTCATCGCTAAAATATTCCCAATCATTCTGATCGACCTCCATTTTGAAAATAACGCATGTAGCTATTTAGCATAATCTCGTTCTCGCGAAACCCCGTAAATCGTGAGAATTGACCAATTACCATAATCGCGTTTGGGATTTTGCGAGATTTTTCGTGACCAGACGATGAGTTTACTAGTTAGTTTATTTGCGTAGTACACCGTTATGTAAACTCGCACTAATGTGTTTTTAATTATGCAAAGCAACATCGTACAAAGAAAATAGCCTTGTTTCCTATCCCTTTGTTGAGGGTCTATGTTTTGACTGACTTGCAAAATTAAAGTGGTTTACAGGGGTATATCAATATGTTTGGTGTTCAGTTTAAGGAACTTCACAGCAGGTGAGTTTATTTTTATTACCTTATGTTGTTCTTTGCCAACATAGTTTCTAACTTCTTAGCTCTGTGCTGTACATGTCGAAGATCTTTTAATTCAGGTCTGAAAATACAAATTACAGTTACATAAATAAAGTGTATAGTCGTTGTTCCACGTCATGTATATCATGGGACCCATAATGATTTATACAACGTCCGAAATCCATTGTTTGTTTACATGAAATTTGAAGACACACTGCACGATGACTGAAGCGCCTAAATTAAGCAGTGTAATAATATGAGATTATTACTAGAATACCTCAAAGTATGCACAAAGACAGTACAGCGAAAGTATCTAGTATTGACAGACGCGCAGCGCAGGTTGATGCGTGGCGTGTACATGTACTGTCTGAGTGCATACTTTGAGGTATTCTCGTAATAACCTTATTATTTTACATCTTTTCCTTCCAAGGATGCATCATGGGAATGTCGAAATTCAAAAAGTTTAAAACAGAATCAGTGAACTTCTTTTTGTGGAGTCTGGTCAAACCCTCGTGGGAGCCATGTTTGTTTTTATTATTAGAGGACGCTTACACGTATAATCATTCCATATTTGGAATTCGTATTTCCATATATGGTAGGATGAAAATACCCAGTGTAATACTGCAAAATTACGGCACGCATTACGGTGACAGATGTATAATAATATGTCAGAACACCATTGTGTTTGGAAGTTATTTTTACCAGTAGTGTATCCTGTGGTCTTCAATTTCATGAGCAAAGCAAGTGAACATACAGAATGGATACATGGCATTACAAGATGTATTTCATAGACATTTATTGTGAAACACAGCTTCTTCATACATATTTTTGACATCAATATTGAAGAATAAATGTGATTTTTAATGAGACCAATTCTCTGATTGAGACTCGATCAATATTCAGAGAGTGTTATTGCCACAGCGATTTTTTTAATATTTTCTTTCACTTCAATCTGGGTTTTTGATGATTTTCAAAGTTGTGTGATTTGTTCTAATCTATATAGAAATGACATTTTGATTTGTTGTTAAAATTATGAATAAAAAAACATTAATGCTAGCATGGCCACACTGTGCTGTGTTGTGTTCCAATCATCAGTACACAGTAAACAAGCAGCCTCTCGGCTGAGATAGCTCCGCTGTTAGCAATGCACATTTCAATTAAAGAACAGAAGATATCATTAGAAAATGAACAATATGTATAGTATCAAGCAATGGGACTTGCTGTTTTCAACAAGAATTCAAAAATATCACTTTTTATCAAAAATTACAAAAATATTCACCAAAATTAGAGAATTAAAGATATCATTACAAAATGAACAAATCTGAGAGAGGTCCACATGTAGTACCTATATATGTAATATAAAAGCAATTGGACTTGCGGTTTTTAACAAGAAGTCGAAAATATCACTTTTTACCAAAAA